CTTGAAAATGCAGCCAACCAACCCCTCATCCTGGTTATTACTTCCTTATGCATAGTTTCATATGACGGTAAGGAGGCATCATAATTAAATTATTTTCATTCATCAAACATTGGCACTAACTAACGACATTTAATGAAATAACTGCTAAATTTGCAGGAAAAATTAATTCCACCTCTTCAGGAGGAGTGACCTTACTACTCGCGAATCAAAGAATTCCATGATAAATTCATTTTGGAGAAAGGTGAAATTCTTAAACATTTACTCACCATATTTGCAACCGTGTTATGAGTTTGATGTTCAACAAACCACTACAGGAGTAATTATCATTCCTTTTTTTATGATAATAGTGACGGCGATGGACCATATCCACCGGTGAAAATCATGGAATCACCTAAAAGGAAGGATGAGAATGAGCACGACACGGACAATGAGAAAAGATAAAGATTATTCAAAACAATTGTAGATTTCGATTACTTGGTAAAGTTTTAGTCGTTGTTTTTTGGTAAATTAATTATGTTCGGTAAGCCGGTTAGGATGTCCCAGAATACTATGATGTTCGTTTTTAAAATTGTTGTAAGTACTTTAATAATTTGTATACATTTACGCTACAAAGAAATATACATTTTGATAATTTCAGCAATCTATATTTTCGTCAACAACCAAAACACACGAAACTCATGCTACTCCTATTTTATATAAACACGATAGCCAAATGACCCAGACATTCCTACCTATTTAGCATTTACGCGATTCAGAAATGAAACCGGCCAACTGACCGAACCCGTCAATAGTACTCTGTAATAGTAATTAATATTATATTTATATATATATATATATGATCGAAATCTAGAGACCTCATAATTTTGAAGGCCCTGCCAGAGGGACTGCCCGCCCTCCATCAGTTTCGGTCCTTCTTTAATCTCTTTCCCACTTCTCACCAACACAAAATCAGAAACAAAAAGTCTAAACAAGAGACTTATTGACCATCCTTAAGACCCAAGGCAAGCTCGAGGAAAGTACCTGGTCGATCTGTGTGCAAGAGACATGCATTTTGATTAATGGGAAGAGACAAACGCGGGAATTTTATTCGTAGCCTTGTTCCTTGGGGAACGGCTACGGTGCTAATTGTACAATAGTTAGCACCGTCCTAACCAAGGGAAAAACTACTACTAGTTTGAATTAGTAGTGATTTAGCTTAGATGTTGTATTGATTTTATAATAATCCGTAGTGATTTCGTTATTTTTAGTAGCGTTTTTTACTAGTTATCACGGTGCTAACCCTTATAAAGGTTTACACCTAATCCTATCCCTGTCCCTTGGCCACTGCCGATTAGTGTCAATAACTAATAATTAATTTATAATGTATGAACACGGTGTTGAAAGCACGCAACGCAACAACGCTGTGGAGGATTTGGAAAACGCAATACAAAGACAGTAAGGGAAAGTCGTTTAATTGTAACTTTCTATCCCAATTTAATTAGGAACCAAATCTGCACTAGTATTAGCTGTAAACTACCGCGTACGATATTGCAGTTGAGGACTGTTGGTGGTGCTACCAGAAAAGGGCGGCTGGATCCAGTGGCGGACCTAAAGCAAGGGAGGGTGCCGCCCAAAATTTTTTTGAATGACCTACATATTTTCGGTACAAAATTTTTAAGTTATGGACTTCCGATAACCCTTCGATAATTATAGCCGACACACCTTCATTAGACTGGAAGAATTTTATTATTTAAATGAATCAATCTTAAATTCTAATTAACAAAATTCATTTTTAATTTTTTTAAGATAACTCATAATCATATCAATTGCTATTAAAAAAACCACATGCCATACCAATATACATGTGTGCTGGGATTGGTCTTTTCATTAATGGAGAAACAAAAAAATTACCAAAGCCCAAGCGGCAACTGTCGAGACTCACCAGAATGCATACTTTTGAAGTTGGTATGACTTTATATGTTGAAATGCAAGCCGCGAACGAGCATTTTCAGGTATGAAGATAATTAAGAACGATGTTCGAAATCGGTTGGGTGACAAATTTATGAATGATTGTTGTGTATATTTGAAAAAGATTTGTTTTGCAGCATAAGTGATGAATTTATTTTAGAGACATTTAAATAGATGAAAAGTCATTTTGATTCGTTGTAAACATGACATTGTGAAGGTTATAAATTAATTTCTAATTAATTTTTTATTATTATCTTATTTTATCGGCGACACACCTCTCCGACAATTCTGAATCTGCCACTGGCTGGATCCATCGTCCGCGGATCTAACCTAATTACAACAGCCAGCCTCTATTAAGCCACGAGAACATGATAATTACCTGAGCTAACATGGACTAATTAAGACATCGGTAAACCCAATATTCAACTGCCTTTATAAACGTGTGGATTTTTGTTTGCAATGCTTGAGATTTACAACATGCTACATGGAGAATGAGGGAAATTACCAGGTTGGCTCCGAGAGCAACAAACTAAAGTGAGCTATCTTCTCGGATTGTCCAATGTTCGTTAGCATTTTATTTGATCTCTATTCGATTGTATTAATTCCAAACCTCGCATTGATCTTCTTTTGGAACGTTTGCACGAAAATTTAATTTTCTTGAAAAGATCACGCGAGTGGTCTCTGAATAGTCGGACGGTTTCAAATAACATGGTCATGTACATAACAAATTTTGCTAGTTGATGTGTTTAATTAGGGTTTAGGGTCATAATTTTTTTGGTGGATAATAACATGTCGTAAGGAGATCATTGAGTCCAATGGATAACATCCAACTCTTAAGTGAATGATCTTATTCAACAACATGGACATCATCCAATTTAACATGATGACATGATGGATGGTTATTATGACACGTTAATATGGTGTGGCGATCGCCCAATGGTGCTATTTCTCCTATCGATAAACTACTAGAACAACTATTTTGATGCTTTTATTGTCGAAGACCATGTTCTATCTCTTCCTGCTTTACTCCTCTTCCTATAACCAGACTTTGAACTTGAATGAGTTTTCGGTCTTCGTTCAAGGTTAATAGTTTCACATATGTAAGTCATTCCTTTCTTCTCTGCCTCATGGTTTTATCTTTCTAATTAATAATAAAACGATTTTTATTTCCAGGTTGTCTCACGAGCAGAACAGGTAGAAGTTGTATTTTTTTTTATCCTATTGCCTACTACATGTTTGAAGCCCGATGAATCTCTTGTGTCGATGCTCCTCTTTCTATTCTTAGGTTTCAACTTCAATGATTTTTTTTGTCTTCATAGAAGGTTGAGTTGAACTGGTGGGCTATTGTTTCATTCCCAATTTATCTAAGTTTGTTGTTTGTGATTGATTTATAAAATATAGAAAAAGGATTTGAACGATTGTTTGGGTGCTAGACTGCTAGATTTGTTTGGAATCAAAGGAGATGTTTGTGTAGAACAAGGGCAATTGTACTTTCCTAGGGCCCTGTCTACTTTCTTGGTTGTTTGTTTGCTTTATTTTTTCTTTGTTCTTTGCTTAGCTATTGAAAAAATAAAATAAGATCACCATTATAATTTTTTTTTTTCAATTACAATATTTCCACTCAGGTTTGATTTTGTCATATCCAATGTTCTCCACAAGCATATTTTTCTTCATCAATCTTGATTCTTATGGTCCAGCTCATCAATCAAGTTTTGATATTGTTTGAGGATTAGTTAGATACTGTTTATTTTGTCGATGTTCTTAATGTCCATTAGGTTTTTGGTTGTTGTAGCTACCACAACCTATGTCTATCTTAAAATGAGGAATCATTGATTCATTTACTAAAGTTAAGTTCGATTCTCTATTCAAGCTATTGGATCTAGTAGATAAGGAGTGTCTAATTTTGCGTCTTATTACTTTGATTGAGTATATTAGTATATTGGAGGTAAATCTAATTTTGTCATTTGCTCTCAAGTTTTGATGGTCCCCTTTTAGTTGAGTTGTTAGTATACTGTATATGGTTTACGTGAATCAACAACTTTCCATTTCTTTTTTATTAATGACATGTTGTTCCTAAAAGGAGAGCATTGAACCCTTTTATGTAGGATTGTGAGGTTTTAATAGTTTCCAATTATCTATGGGTCTTGTGAGAATTCCAATGAGCTTTTATACTCTATCTTTCTTGACAATCAATTAACCAACAATAATTAAATAGGGGCTTAATTATCATTATGAAATGGGATTAAGGATACATTTTTATATTTTATATTGTTAAGTGATGATAATATTTCTTCAAATGTTTGACCTATACATTCATTCTTTATGTATCATCTCGATCGAAAAATTGTTAATAAAATTAAATGGATTGATAAAACTAAACATGACATAAAAATACAAATACTCAAAATATATACATTCCGACCAACGAGCCGGGTTATAAGCTAGTTAGTATATGAGTTAAAATATGAGGGGAAAATAAAGTATATATTTCATGGTAATGATGACTGGTATACTCCATGAGTATAGTATAGTCCACAACTCCACATGATCTGACCGTGAGATGCGCTTTGATGAGTTTCGATCAATCTTAACGGTCAATTATTATTCTCGATTAAATTGAATTTCGGGTTTGAGTTTATAGAATGGTGACCTGGAGTTTATCGATTGGAGATTTATGGTATATTTCTTACTTTTTGGGTAGTGAAAATGATATATTTCATATTTCTCAACGGTCCATGATGGGAAAGGGGAGCCGTCCCATATCTAAGTTAAAGAGAGCACCCTTAAACGGGCCCACTGAAACTCAGAAACCCATAACCGCTTTGACCTTGGGTCATCCATCTCTCTCTCTCCCCCCCGCTTTTAACTCCCCAACGTCCTGGCTGGTCGGTGCATCGGATGGGAACTGATAACCTCGTCGGCCCCACGTCTCCCGCAACTCACCCACACCTGCCAATCAATCTCCTCCACGCGTCACAAATCCAACCGTCCATATCCACAAACCAAATGCCCAAAACCCCACCCTCTATAAATTCAATTCAACGGAGAGCCAACCTCCTCAAGTCATATCACATTCTTCAGAAAAAAGAACTCACTCACTAAACCTTCAGGAAAAAAGGACAAAAATGGGCGCTTTGGATCACTTCTCGGAGATGTTCGACTGCTCCGGCCGGCGGTCCCACAAGCGACGCAAGCAACTTCAGACGGTGGAGATAAAAGTGCGGATCGACTGCGAGGGTTGCGAGCGGAAGGTGAAGAGGTCGGTGGAAGGGATGAAAGGGGTGACCAAGGTGGACGTCGAGCGCAAGGCCAACAAGGTCACCGTCGTCGGCTACGTCGAACCCTCCAAGGTCATCGCCCGGGTCGCTCACCGGACGGGGAAGAAGGCCGAGCTCTGGCCCTACGTCCCCTACGACGTCGTCGACCACCCCTACGCCATCGGGGTTTACGACAAGAAGGCGCCTTCCGGGTACGTGCGGAGGGCCGACGACTCCGGCCTCGCACGTGCCAGCTCCACCGAGGTCCGCTACACCACCGCATTTAGCGACGACAACCCGGCCGCTTGCTCCCTCATGTGATACTGATACATGTTATGTTATTCACAGCACAGATCGATGGGTCCTACTCCTAGTTTTGTTGTTGGCTTCTACTTCTAGGAGGTGATTAGTTAAAAGTACTTAAAACTAGTCACTCACTCTTGGTCAAATTGTTATTGAGCTAGCTAATGCATTATTTATTTTACTTGGTTTTAGCAAGTTGATAGGATTCCAAGTTGTAATTTCTGTTTATCTAGTTAATTTCTTTTTATATTTTTTTCCTTTCCGTAAAAATCAATGTAAATGATATGTTTCAATATGAAATGTCTCATAAGTTTTACAATTTTATCCACCTCTTTCAATTCAAATGTTAACCCATTAGCAATGACGAATTTGATTCACCTCAAATTGAGTTCCACATCAAAGTCAATTAGGACCTAATTATAATAACTTCAATTCGAGATTTAATTTTTCAATTTATACCTACCATCATTATGGCGACGTGACAGGTCAAAGGTCTACTCTTAAGTTAGATAGATTTTTTTCATATACAGGGAGGCCAAAGCCGAGAGGCGAAGAAACAAAGAGGCCCTACGGGGCAGAAAGGGGCGCCACAATCTGGCGCTCAAAAGCTACGCCCATGGCGTCTTCTCTAACAATAGAAGCTAGCTCAGAGGGTGGGTTGGCAATCTCCTGTATACCGTAGGGATATACGAGACTGTGCTTCGAGAGCCAGTCCGCGACTCTATTCCCTTCCCGATATACATGATTGATGCTAACCAACCAATCCTGACTAATCTTCCTACAGATCGCTGACAAAAGAGTAGCATGAGGGTGAACCGGATCATTTCGGTTGTTGATGAGCTGAATCGCGAGCTGGGAAACGGACTCGAGGCGAACCGCCCGACACCCCTTCTTCTAGGCCATATCCAAACCATAAAACGATCCATAACTCGGCCAAAACAGTTGTCGTCGTCCCAATGTTCGCCATGAAGCCAGCAACCCAACTACCTGTCCAGTCGCGGAGAACGCCTCCTGCTCCAGCAGCTTCGGGATTACCGCAAGAGGCCCCGTCGACATTGAGGGTCATCCATCCCTGCCTCGGTGGAGTCCGACCAACCATAGCTGTAGTACGAGCAGCCACCGGACCTCTACCATTGGGAAGGGGAGAGGGAGCTTGCCAAGCCTCGTGCCAAAGCTTACACTTGGCCAGAATCGAAAACTCAAGGGAAGGAAGGGAGAGAGCAGAGCTCGAACCATTAAACACGTACGTGCATCTATTCTTCCAGATGAGCCAGACTGAGACACTGAAGAAGGCAGCCCAGCTCATTCCGGACCCTATCTGCTCGCTGCTCTTAAGGTTCTCACGGAGCCACCCTCTCTCGTCCGAGCTAAAGAAGCGGTGGTGATTACTTGCCGGGACGTGACGAAGCCAGAAGTACCGGGCTGAGTTACAGTCACGCAGGATATGGATAATGGACTCGACCGGATCCCCACAGCTGGTACAACTTTGGTTGGATGTCACTTTCCTGGAGAACAGTAAGGACCTTGTCGCCAATCTTCTTAAAAAGGTAGTCCACAAGAAAACCATGATCCTTCCCGAGACCGGGAGGCTCCAGATGGTCTTCCAAGTATCCTCGTCCGTATCAAGCTGTCGCTGGTTTTGAATGGAATAAGCCGATTTCGCCGAGAACCTCCCATCCGACGAGGCTGACCAGAAGATAGTGTCCTCCTCCGTGGCCAACTTATCAACTTCAATGCTAAGGATCTTTTGAAAGACATCACTCGGGAGGAGGTCCTCGAAAAGCTCCATCCGCCAGGCTCCATCTTCCTGCACAAAATTCTAGATCGGCTTAGCAACACTCCGGAATGTGACCAAGGGATACCTCCTTAAGCGGTACCTGCAAAACCCATGGATCAAGCCAAAACTTAGTGTGTTTCCCGTTCTTGATAGTTGATATTCCAAGCACAACCTTTACGGAGGAGATTAGCAGCTTTTGCGATGCTTCGCCAGGTAAAGGAACTTCCCTGAATTGGCCGGATGATCTCAAGGTTCTCCCGTTGCCGACCGTACTTAGTCACCATCAGCTGAGTCCAGAGGCTGTCTTTCTCCTTAATCAGTCTCCAACCGCTCTTCGCAAGCATCGCGAGATTCGCTTGCTTGAGAGATCTTAGGCCAGCTCCACCATGCAACTTAGGCTGGGTCATCTTGTCCCAAGCTACTAGGTGCATCTTCGACTTGTCCTCTTCATCCCCCCAGATGAAATCCCTGTTCATCCTGTCAATACTCTTACAAACTGCACTGGGAATAAGTTCAGTGTTCATACAGTAAGTAGGTAAAGCGGAGGAAACTGATTTGACAACAGTAAGCCGAGCCGCATAGGATAGTCTTTTCGCTTTCCAAGGAGCCAATTTCCTCTGGATGCGAAGAAGAAGACTCTGGTAGCGGCTTTGAGATATCCTTCCATTAATAGTGTGAAGGCCCAGGTATCTTCCTAGCTCCATCTTCAAAGGAATGCCAGCTTGTTTGCTAAAATGTTCTGCTCTTTGCCGATCCACATTGGGCGAAACATACAACAGGGATTTGCTGTAATTCACTCTTTGCCAGGAGCTGAAGCAGAAGTCATCCAAACACTGCCTAAGAAGTTGACGAGTTGAGGAATTGAATCTCAATTCAATCGAGTAGTTGGAACATGCCTCTCTCTAATATTTGGTACAAATCACGACACCCAGTTGAGAGACCCCCCACAATAGTGCACAACTTTAAGCTTTTTTTGTTTGCTTATATAATGGCAACCAAATGCCCAACAGCTAATAATAAGGCCCCTTTCACTTTGTATGCTTGGTGGATGATCTTTGTCTAAAGTTTCAGCTCACTTTTGAAGCAACCCTGCGTGAATAGACCACATGGAAAGAGAATCAGAATCTGGAGATTCAGAGGATTCCATGAGAGGCTTTTGCTTTCCAGCCGCGGCTTCCCATCTGAAACGAAGGTTCCTGGAACCAAGCCATAGGGCAGGCTTCAAGTCTCAATGAGCACATGCTCAAAAGAAAGGGAGACAGAAACTTCAACGAAACCAATCAAGACTATACATCCCAAGACACGAATGAATACTTCCCATTCTCCAAAAAGATACCACAACATGGCATAAAACAAGAAACACACTGAGCTAAAACAGAGTCCAAACAGCATTGTGTGTGTCTTAACATAACATGAAAAGCGGATCTTGTAAAGTTAGGGGCACTGGAGGACATCATCCCCTATTTATGGTTGCTTATCCGTGGCTGCAATGTCGCTGTCAATGTTATCATCCCGGTAAATGCTCTCAGCCATCTGCCAAACCTGAAGAGAGTTATCCTCTGCGACACTTGATATTACCCATGGCTCGTTTCTGTTCCACGAGAAATCAGATATCTTCGCCTTGTGACCCCCATGGGAGAATAGAAGTTCCGGTGGGCCATCCTCTGCATCTAATTCCAACTGTTCTTCCCCGATCCTGAAAAGTACGACAAACCTTAGCTCGTACTACACCACTAATAAAAGAGCATTGCAGTTATCTATACTATGCGACTTTTGTTAAAAAAAACATGGAATAAGTAAATGAAGAGAAGACAATATGGAGCGACTTTGGTTGTCAAGTACCTGCTAAGGTCCCAGACATTTAGCCTTCGATCATCAGCAGAGGATGCCAGCACGGTTTCATGCTTAGGGTTCCATTCCACTTGGAACACTTCTTCACTGTCAAAAGAGGAGTCATGGTGATTTAAGCCATGTGCAAGGTATGTACCCATTCAATGCATGGAATCGGAAGTTCACCAGCTAGCACAACAAAGCATCAATATGTTTTATACGTACGTGTGGCCACTTAAAACGTGGAGAGGTACTTCCATCTTTCGCAAGTCAAACAGACCAACAGTAGAGTCTGAAGATGCTGTAGCCAGAATCCACTCGTTGAATGGATTGAAGGAGAGGTAGTTGATCTGGAAGAAAATAAAAGTTCCGTGGTGCAAGATCAGAAACAGATGACTTACACCAATTGGAAGAACAGATGACAACTGAAGGAAATAACTTGCTACAGACATGACCCCTTAGTAGACAGTCTACGAAAGAAAGCTAGTTTTATTTGTCACTGAAAGCAGGCTAGCTATTCTGTTCCTGATTTAAATAGCTACAGCAGGGGAGGAAATTATCATGGTAATCACTGTTAAAGCAACAACTCTACTAGTCCAGAATGCATAGCTCATAGCAGACAGATTCAACTGAAGCATCATAGCAACGCTAGAACACAAATGATAGAAAGGTTTAAGTATGTTTCACCTCTTTGTCATGAGCTTTCACAGAAGACTGAGTCCGGTTTGTCCGAAGGTCCCAAATCATCAATTGACAATCATCCCCAACTGAACCAAACAAATTCTCATTCTTCAAGTGCCAGTCAACATCCTCAACCACGCTTTCATGGGCCTGGAACAAAACAGTTTGCAGCTCTGGTTATAAATCAGAGCACGCGCAATCACTTGCAACTGCAATAGAAAAATCGCCCGCCAGGATTTTCAGAAGTTTACCTGATAAACGTGCAACGCATCAAGCACTTTGTCTTGAGCCACAGCAGAGACATCCCACAGGCATATCTTGCAATCATTCGAACCACTCACAAGATAACCTTGCTTAAAGGGGCTCCATGACAATCCGTAGCCTTCTTTATCATGACCCCTCAGCCTAAAATCAGGATCACAATCGTCACCCTTCTTCTCAGCTTGTTTGGCCGAGTCGAAGACGTAAACCTCAGCTCCACTAGTCTTTGCACCAATAACAGCCGGATTCTGTGGCATACACCGCGCCCTGTTCACTTCCCCATCCACCCGGATTTTCTGACTTATTTCCACCTAAAAAAATCTCAGGACGTTTCAGCTGGGAATTTCATCGAACAGTTGGTGCTCAACCCGACAATCGATAAGCCATGACAAGACCCAGAACATAAAACCATAGCGAAAACAAAAATCACACTCGCCTTTGGAATAGGAGAGTCTTCCGAGTCCCCATCAAGCCTGGCTTGGGCTTCTCGGGTGGGCAGGACGGCGTCGGCGACCATGAGGTAGTTGGGGAACTCGTCGGAGGTGTGGGTTCCCAAGACGAGCTTGTGGACACTGAAAGAGGAAGGATCCGCGGAGTAGGGAAGCGGAGACGGTAGCGGGACCCAGTGAGCAGTGAGAGATGGCCATTCTAGAGGGTGAGATATGACGAGGTCGTAGAGAAATGGAGTGTTCTTCTTCCACACAGCGAAGTCTTCCTCCACCTGCGCCTCTGTCGCAGCCATTTCTGCTAAGGATAGTTCGAGAACCCTCGCCTTCTCTCTCTCGCCCTTTCGGATCTTGTTCCCTCGGGTTTTCGCCTTTTCGGTCGCGGCGGTGGGTATACAGTGTGTGTAGCGTAATCACGACTCACGAGTTAGGTTAATTGGTCGCTGAAAAATCTGAAATGGCGCGATCTTTTGGCGGTTAGATTTACCGCCAAAATGGTCGATGGGAAAAGGTAACGAAGGAAGCAGGTGCCCGTAATTCAGAGACGGGCAGGTCAATGGGCTTGTGGGCCTGGTCACTGAGGACCACCGGTAGAAAGATCGAGTTCATATGCGACTGTTTCAGGAGATCAGTTGCCCGGTTGCAGAGAAGCTTGAATGGGTATGAGTAGGGGTGGTTAATCCGCTGATTGATATCGAGATATTCGCAATAACCTGACCTGCACGTAGTGGGTGATTGATATGAGTGAAATGCGTATTGGTAAATCTCTCACTCGCACTTATGTGGGTGGGTGGTGGGTGGATTGCAGGTCACCCATATGACCCGCATCCTATTTTTACATGAAAAAAAGTTGTTTCTAAAACTATCGAATATTCATCATATAATCGAACTGCACTACAATCTGACCATATACTTCAAAAGGTGGAGAATAAATAATAGTTTTGACTACTATTATTGGTCATTGTGTTGTGCAATATCCATTAGATATTAGATATTAATATGCAGATTATTGTTAACAACCATTAAATATTGGGATGCAAACTATAAATTATTAATTGTATCAAAATCACAAATTATTGATACAGTCTTTACTAATTTGCTATGAACTTATTATAAATGTTAGTCAACTTTCTTAATGGCTAGATGGAAAATTGCTTTTGCGGGTTGACTCGCCACCGAACCGCACCCATCCGCCACCCACCCAACACAACCCGCAGAAGTATGTGGGTGGATTGCAGATCACAATTATTCCAACCCGCTAGTAAGCAGGTGGGTCAATTTGAGACCAAAACCCACCCAACCTGCCTGTTGCCCAACCTTAGGTATGACTTATGAGCGAGTTATTTGAAATTATTTGTACACAATTAACTAATTTGAAATTATTTGTACACAATTAACTAATTTGGTAGCATTATACTGAAATGAGTTATTTAAAAATAATTCAAAACGAGTTATTTAAAATAACTCATGCCCCTATGTTATTTCGTAATAACTTGTTTTGCCCTTTTGTTTTTACCAAATACCACATGCCAAATACCACATTTGTATTGTATGGTTCAATTAAAAGAGATACTTTCCTTTAATCCAATTACCATGAAATACCACATGAACAATTAATGAGTTATTTGACTTTACAAAATACCACAATTAATCTATCCAAACGACCCCAAACTGTAACACAAATCACAAACATGTTCTCAGAATTGAACAACCGGTCTCTTCAGTCAACAATGAGCTACTCATTCATTTACCTTCGAGGTATAAAGAACAATTCAACAAGCATTGTTCGAGAAGCTACATAAGAACGCCTGGAATCATGAACGAAGGGTGGTCACAGTCCTCACCCACCGCTGGGCTTGCTTTCTCGCTTCAACCACTGGCAGGTTATGGGCAAAGAACAAAGGTCCCGACAGTTGTGCAGTTCACTAACCACACAGAACACCGTCACCCTATGCTCTGAAATTCAGCAATGAACACAATTCCACATTGCTCAGCACCTTCTCCAAAGGAAAACGAAGAGAAAGACCGAGGGAGGGAGAAAACAAACAAAGAAACCCAACGATAGCTGAATCAAACAACAAGACAGCAAATAACAGCATAGGTTCAATCGAACAATAATCATACTATAACATAGCTGATGCAAGTAGAGAAGAGGGGATATTTTATTTTGTTAAAATATTAGGACCAAACAGGGAAAAAAGGGTAGCATTCATCCCTACTACTGTGTCTCACCTATATCTACAGGCACATTAAAGAACTGATTTTACAAAGCATTCTGCAGACGGAAGGCCAAAAGAAAGAATCCTGGAACATTGACCAAAAAGATGGAGCCTAACACACTCGGGGGGAACCCAAAAAAAGGGAAAACTAGCTGAAAGAAACGATTGAAATAACAAAACCCAACATATGCAACCTGTGACAGCTGATTTGCAAAGCTGCCTGCTGCTCAACAAACAGAGACGTCTGCGGGCAGGCACAACAAGCATTGTTAGACGAAACAACACCTTCTGGATATCTCTTCAAGGAACTGTTGATGGATTTGCTCCTGGAAGATCAAAAGCACCAGAATGAGCCACTAAAGACCAAGAAATAAGCAGTAAGGGATTTATAAATATCCATTGTTACTTAATCCACCGTCACCATATCGCTTCTTCAAAAACAAGGAAAATCCGTCAAAAGAGTTCATAAATGCCTGTTTGGATGAAGTTCATAACAGACTAACCACTTGTCACATGGAGTGCTTTCACAAGCACCATAGATTTATATGGACAGAAGCTAATTGGCTTCAGAGCAGACAAATTTGGAACTTAGATTTCAAGATCGTAAAATGACGATTACTAACACTAACAAAAGGAACGTTTTTTTCTTCTTCTGGATAAGGGTGATAAAGGTTTTTTTCATTATAAGTCAGCTTCAGACCAGACAGTTTCGGAACTTAGATTTCAAGACCGTAAAGACTACAACTACCACTAGACAAAAGGAACGTATTTGCCATAAGATTTCCAGGCGGCCTTTCGGAAAGAATAAGAGTAAAAAGGTTTGGGTAGGAAGGAAGCACACATGGTACCCAATTAACATCTTCTTAGAAATTATAACAGTCCCAGAAACTCTGTTAACTACTCGTAAAATCACGATACTAGCATAGAATATGGTACTAAGTACAGCGCTTCCAACTTTCACCAGGTGATATGAAGTGGAAATTAGAGCATTTCCACCTAAAACAAAAGAGGATACCAATCAATGCATGCGTAGAAACCACGGCATATGGCAATGTTTAGACAAAGGGTCAGACGTAGATTGACTGCCTAAGCAATCATTACCACGACAAGTCCGGACATCCTAGAAAAGTGCTAGAGATAAGTTTGGTGGAAGTAAGAATGTTCTCGACAGAACTCATACTACTTAGCACTAATAAAGCAAAACTACATCAACAAACCAACAAAGGTACACTGAAAAGAAAGTCCATCTTGCCAAGTGATTGACATTCATTTATAAATCTTAGGCACACAAGAAATATCGAAAGCTACCTACCAATATTACATACCTTTTCTCTTGCTGGAGCCAGGGAAACTTCCATTTCCAGCAACGGTATTTCCGACACCACAGAGTGAAAAATCCTTGATCCCAGAGGTTTGATTCACCATACACTGAAGATTCTCAAAGTCACAACCAGTGTAGACTTGTCCATTTACAGACACACCTTCCGCTGTGCTTTTCCCATCATCCATCCCAGGATGCAAGCAATAGGCTTGATCATTACTCTGCATGTTACAAGGGTTCACCACATAAGCACCGTGCCCACTTGGATTGGTCAAATTCAAGTTAGCAGCAGCCGCAGGTTTCTGATAGGGGAAAGATCCAATCTCCCCTTCGATCCTTCCACGAATATCAACAAGCAAACACTTGAGCCTCGCAATCTCTGCCTCCAAAGCAGCCTGCCCTTGTAGCCTCTTCATTAGCTGCTGGTTCAAAGCCCTCAATTTCACAACTTCATCCTCCAAAGACGCAGCCCTCGCCTTCTTCTTCTCCCTATACTTCCTCACTGCCTCTCTGTTACCTATTGGCCGCTTCTTTGACTTCTTATCCACAGATTCCGCATTGTCATCGCTGTCAAGCTTATCGTCTGAAGAAGCCGAGACAATTTTCGTATGCACATGGAAGCAAGTATGAGTGTGGGAATAATCGGGACCGGGGGGATTGCAAGTGTGCGTGTGAGTACACGCATGAGTGTCTTTCAGCAACTCGTCGAAGAAACTGTCCATCGAGCCGCTGGTCGGAATCTCCGGCATGTTGGTGCTGGAAAACACTTCCTGGTGCGAGAAATCAACCTCGCCGTCGTCCATGGCGGAAGATGAAAGCCCTGGGGACAACTTCGATTGCCGAACCCAGATTGTAACTATTCAAATGGTCTAGAAAAACCCTAAAGCCAAAAAGGGCAGAAACCAGACCGATTCTCTACAAATGGATGAGAACCCAGATGGGGGATTTGCATGAGAACAAACGGGATTACCTCCGGAGTCCTCGATTGCTCGAATTCTTCAGCGAATTCGAGGGTTTTACAGGAGATGAAACACAGATAAGGAATCACCGGAGAGATGACTCATAATCACTTAATCAGACCCAGATCAGTGGAGATCAATGAAACCCTAGAGATTCAAGGACGAAATTTCCCCGCAAAAGAGAGGAGGGAGACTACTGGGAACATGCGAAATTGGGTAGAGAAAGAGCATGCGAAATTGGGAAATTGGACCAGAACCCATTAGGGATGGCAATAAAACCCATGGCCGCGGGTATCCGACCGCCCCCGACCCAGTCAACACGGGGAATCCCCGCTTTGACCCGGTATGGGGCGGGTATGGGTAAAACCCGCAAAAAGTTTGATGGGTATGGGGCGGGTATGGTTTTGACCTCCCCCGCCCCATACCCATACCCATACCCGCCCCACCAAAAGAATTTCTTCACATATAAAAAATATGTGGATTAAATTGTAATCTATCAATGGTGATGAGGATAACTCAAGGAAATAAATAGTAGAAATGCAATTGAGTGACCATTTTAATCAAAATCTAATTCATTTCCCTCAATTCTCCTTTCACTCTTTCACTTTTCCCCTTCTCTACAAGATTAAGTTAGTTAATTATTACTTAGTAGATGTATAAGAGTTAGAAGATAATAATTTGAAAAATATTATACTCTATATTATGTATTAATGGATGTTTTAGGATCGTATACTTTGAACCGTATTAAGAAAATGATCGTGTTTTGTTGACTTCATGATATAATAGGTTCGTTTAGAGTAATAATTAAAACTTTTCTTGTTAATTTTAGGTATAATAAAGTTGGATGTATGGGTACGGGTATTACCCATGGGTACCCGAAACCCACGGGTATGGGGATGGGTTTGCAAAACATTCACCCGCATGGGTATGGGGCGGGTATGGGTTTGGGTATTTGAAGATGGGGATGGGGATGGTTTAGACAAACCCGCCCCAAACCCGCCCCATTGCCATCCCTAGACCCCATTTATTTTGGGTGCCACCGTAACTCCTGAAGATTCGTCGAGCCAGAAGCGGACATTGAAAGTTAAAAAGGTTAATTTAGTCCATCGCTGCAAAATTATAGGTACTCTTGGTCTTGGGCCTTGGCACTCACTTGCAAAATGAGTCCATGATTATCACTTATTAGTTATCACCCGGTGGAATGCTGGCCTGTTAAATTTGGTATGCTTGGTATCGGTAATAAAATCGATTGAAATATTATTGGTATGATTAATATTATTGATATTTGACCTTTAATTAAAATGACTGTCATTTTATTTTTTACGATTCGGTTTGTGTTATATTATAAAAAAGGATGGTAGACAACATGGAACGGATACTATAACAACACTCCATATGTTGTTATAGTGACAACATTACTACACAACCAATAGGAATACATGATTCTGAGGACTTTTTTATTACATAAATTGACTCAAGTTTTATCGTGTAAATATCAAACAAGGGCAATTTTGTCATTTAGAAAAGTGAAATCTCAAGAAGACAACTCGTTCTCTCCCCCATCTATCCGATCCCACCAAGGTTGTCAACCGGTTTATGCCAGTGTGCCGGTTTAGCAAGTGGAATGGTTCGACCGGTGGCACATATCGGTTTATGCCGGTCAATATTACAAATAAAATTATAAATACTCATATTTAAACATGACATTTAACGTCAATACCTAAACATTTATACTTGAATCCAACAAATAACATCAATATTTAACTTTTATACTAAAAAATAAGTAATAAAATAATTTTTAACAATTAAATTCACTAAAATAAGGTCATTTTATTTAGAGATTTGTATATCGATCATGTCGGTCATACCGGTGGTGTCACGCTGGTTTTATGACCGGTACCGGCTGAACCAGGTACAACCGGTGGCACACCCGCCAGCGTGACAACCATGGATCCCACCCTTACCACCGAGCGCCGGCCGTCAAACTCCTCCACCATCTATCACCACTTCTCTCTCCCCCATGTCTCAGCCGCCGCAGTCGGTTCCGTTCCTCGACGGACCTTTCTCCCCCATTGACAACCATCTCATCAATTGCGACTCCGTAATGAACCTTCGTCTGTTCGTTTCTAGTTTCCATTCCAATCTAGGCACCCCGATGCTCCGCTCCGCTCTCACGAAGGCGGCTTTGAACGGATTCCCCCATTCAGCTTGCTCCTAATCTATTAATGGATACCGAAAATCACATGTACGCCTCCATTTCAACCTCATTTGTCCTGCACGAACCACCGTGCCTCCCGCCATCCGGCCGAATCTCCTTCAGTCGCGGCCGTCCGTATCATAATCGATTCCATCCTCCGACTTTATCTATCGCTTCTACATTGTCTGTCTGTATCCATCAAGCCGATTATTGATTTTGCATGAGTTGGGAGTTGGGACGTGGAGAAGTTGGAGAGAATGGGAAGAGAGAACCGGCCAAAGATGAAACAGCGGCGGATCCAGGACACAGTAGAACACTGGGCTCGCATTTCATTAGAAAATTAGATACCGTATGAAAATCATAAATTTTTTTACTATATCAATTGTACACGTCGATCTTTTTAAATTTTAATATAGTGAATTCATCAATAAAGGAGTCTACATCCATATCAATAACATACTCTCTTTAAGATAAAATAGTTAACCAATTGGCGAGAAATTCATTGCTCATTTTATTACGTAGATAAATTTTCACCTATTTTGTTAAACCTTCCTGCGCCACTAAATAACTAAACAAATTACAAAAAGGCTCCTGCCGCGTTAAGTTTGTTTTCATCCTGTCCAACTAACTAACCCGATTAAATGGATTAAGACTGCAAACCCAATTGGGTAGACCCACTGCCGCCCTAACCAATTTCCAGTCTCCCTAACCAATTACACGATCCCTCTCTCATCTTGAAGGGACGCCCCTTCATAGTTCCAAGAGAAGCTCCCCATCCAATTTGAACTCCCCAACTTAATCATCTTTTTGAATCCCAATTACTTGCATCCACATTCGACGTAGATTGAATTTCCCAATTTATTTTGTCTTGTTTTTTCTTCGCCATTTTATTTCCCCTCGCCTATCTCTTTCTAACACAATTACGGCGACCATGTCTATTATTGTGTTCATCAAACTTTTCATTTGCAAAAGAACCCTTGAAAGAGGTTTGCTAACCCTAGGGTTCATGTCGCTAGTGCTTTGTCATCTTGTCTTAGCGTTATTGTGATTTTCTCGAACCTTATATCTCTCGGTGAAATTTAGGTTTCCTGATATGTAGTGTTCGTCTCGCCCAGAGGATTGAGGAAGAAGATGAAGAACACATAATTTGATTCGAATCGGATGGAGAGGTCTCCTTAGTTGTGTTTACGTATTAACGGTGCGTTTAGGAGTAATTCTAGTTGGACTGGGTCTTATCATTGATTTTTGAAGGCTTTTAAATAACATTCAAACGTGGGCTTGTACATGACCCATGCAATATTCAAAAGTGGGTCTGGAACGTGCGAGCCCATTTGTTTTCTCCTACCGTATCAATTCGTGCGCCAACCCTAGTTTAACTAGCTTTACTTACCCTAGTTTAACCTACATGAGTTACCATCATCATTACTACATATCTTCCGAAATCTTCTAACTCTTGACATTCCAGACTCAACCGTCTCCATCACACTCAAGTCTCCATACTCAACCCTCACGATCACTTTTTCTTACACCTACATTCTCTCTTTCCTCCATCTTCACCTTCCCTTGTTCCTTCTTCCTCTAGACTCCATTGCAAACAAAGGTAAATCGTTTGCGGATATGGGGATACTATCTCTATTAAATGAAGACTACCGATCCACCGCAAGTCTCGGTGATTATCTTTCATTTACAAGCAAAACAACAATTGTGGCCGAGTACGAGTTCATCCACCTAAGTCCTTTCCCTCAAGAAGTGAAGAAGTTAATAAAAAATCTTGGCTGGGAAAAGTTCTTTGATCTCCGGAGTCGAGGAAGCACCAGTTACTGCCCGCATGTGGTGAGGAAGTAAATATAAAAAACCAAATATAAAAAGCATTCACCAAACCAAAAACCAAATATAAAAAGCATTCACCAAACCAAACCAAAAACCAAATATAAAAAGCATTCACCGAACCAAACCAAAAACGGTTGTCCATCATCCTGAGAAAAAAAAACATAACAGTTGTCCATCATCTTGAAAACTAAAACGCAAAATCAGGTTGTCCTTGGGCTTGTTGACTGGGTTTCCTTGTGCTCTTCTCTTTCCTTTTCCCTCCTTTCATGGGCTTTCTTGTACTCTTCCACTGCAGCTTCAACTTGAGGTGCAACTGTTCTTGCTTCCGTGAGCACCATATGCCTTATGTAGTTCATGGGCTCTCGAACAAGGTACACAGCGATATGCATCCTCCTCACTTGAGTGCATGGCTATCAACATCAACAAACATGGTGCTTAACGCATGATTCAAAAATAACAATCAATTGTGGTTTTCTAATATGCGAATTAGAATTGTCTTTACCCAAATATAAGAGGAGTCCCAGCTTGCGCCATACATCCACATGCATACCCAGACTCCACTATCAGACCTACATAAAATAAAAGCATTGTGTGATAAGAACCAAGTTGATAAGTCGTCGTTTAATATCACAAAAAAATGGACATACTTACCAATGAAGTTGTTCTTGATCCTTTGAAGGATTTGTGTACGAAAACTCCGCAATCCTTGGTAGCGACAATCCCGGACCTTGTTCAATATAGAGAATCTTCCATAAGGCTTGCATAAATCTCATCTGTACAAATTAAGAAACGTTTGTACTTAGAAAGAGGTATTTACATTTTTTTGCGTTATAACGGCACAATGTCACAAATTTACCATTGTTTGAACAGATTGTAGTCGAAAGGAATTGCGGTCTTCATTTGGTTGTGGATCCAAGATATGGACTTCTTCCTTGTCCAACTTAATGACAGCCAAGTACCAATGGGCATTATCTCTCATCGGAACACACACCTACATATGCGGAAATTGTCAACACGTATTAAAAAAATAAACTGCAAACCATGTAATACTTATTAAGACGAACAGTTTACCTTGTTCACCATATTGGTTCGACTAAGGAATTTTGATTCGTATAGGTCTAATGCCCTCTTGGGTGTCATTCCACATGAAATCACTAGTTCCTGCCCATGTGGTAGTTGCACCATTGAAATTTTGTCAACACTATATGATGCACGTTAAAAAAACATGTGTTGTGTTTTTTTTGGTGAGAGGATATTAATCTTAAGCATAATTGGACCACAACCTGTAGTTCAGCAGGCAGATAGCACACTCCTTTTCCGTCCTTAGAATTTGTCCACAACTCTTCTAGAGTCAAGTGGCAGGCCATCGCTGTTATAACCTAATATAACATGGACAAAAAACACTTCATGATACTATCGAGTTGTTATAAAATAATTCTACGTAGAAAGCATTGATAGTGGACAAACAAAACAAAATTTTGGAGTTCCGTTGATTACTTCAGCATCTATGAATGAGCGAGGGCTTAAGGACCACAATGACTTCCTGGTACAAGAGTTGTTTGAGGTTTTGACCAATACTTCGTCAGGTGGCAGATTGGCTAA